CACTACTGCAGGTTCTTAATATCATCGGATGTCATTTGACTTAGTGTAGTCCGAGTCCCAGCGGCTAATAATGCAGAGTCAGTAGAATAGAGCTACATATGTGAAATGAAGTGTGCTCCTCGATATCCGGAAGTACGTGTCATGCTACAGTTAAGGATGTATGAAAAGAGGGAGAGCATGGCATTAATGCAGTGATAGTTATTAACAGCATCCGTGGTGCGTAGCGTACAAAAAACAGAGCAAAGCATTATCTCCGATCGAGTCCAAATGATAAGCGCTGTGTCAGAGTTACAATGCAAAGCCAGCATGGGGGTTCGTTATCCTTTTCGTCTGCGTCGGAGATACTGCGTGGGCGTCGTCGTCAAACGGAGTTGCAAACGGGTTTATGGTATTGCTAGACTTCCGCGCGTGAGTAGTCGTGAGAAGCCGTGTTACGGGGGGTAGGGAGGACGGCGTAAGCCCCGGCTGGGGAGGAGCCATTGCGGGCTTGTTTTTGGCAGCGAGGAGCGCAGCCTGCACTTGTGACGGATAGAGCGTCAATGGGACAGTTGCATGCTGTGGGGGCGCCCGTTCGAAGGCGTGATGGAGCGGCATCGCAAGCGGGCTTGGTTCCTTGGTCTGCGGAAGAGTGAAGCCATATTCGTCGAATGGGCCAACGTCAGTGGGCACGCTGGCTTTCCTGCGCTGCTCTGGATGGAGCAGTGGCGAGAAGGATATAGAAGGAAGTGCCGGGTTCTTGGCAGGAACTACGCTCTTCGTCCATGGCCGAGAGGGTGGAGTCGGCGAGACAGACCAAGCAGAGGAAGGCTCTTCTCGAGCTGGAGACCGCTCAATGTGTGGCAGGTCATCTGGCTTGAGCGAGGAAGCATGCGCGATCGAAATTGTCAATTGAGGTCTAGAAGACTGGGCTATCGGCCTATCGACGACAAATTCCTCAGCGGGAGCAGCCTTCTTAGTAAAGAGGTTTGTCACGGGTTTGAACCAGTGCGACCTGGTTTGTTCATTTTCTACCTGTGGAAAGTCCTCTCTGTCCCCACCGTCAACATCCTGCTTCCTCTTTCCAAGAGCCATCAAACGCATCAGCCTACTGATAGCGCGAGAGTGTGTTGACGGCTGCTGCTGCCGCTCAACTTTCGGCTCACCCCCCTCGTGGAAAAAACTATCCCAGCTTTTCTCAAACCTCGGTTCAAGCGATTTCAGCGGATGATTGGCAGACCGGCTGAACGGATTAAGGCTGAATGCTGAACGCGGCTCAGGAAGAGGCGTAAACGAACGAAAACCCATATCAGGCGTCTTTTCGCCCTTTTCCGAATCCTTGCTGATGTGAACGATGGACGGTGCGTTAGGAAAGGCTGCTACAATATCATCGTTGCGTTGCTCCTTGCGCCATTTACGCTTCTTGTACGCTTCAACCCAATTTCTCGCGTAGGAATGCCAGAAAACGATAGCGAGACCCATGACTACGACAACGCCCCAGAGAATGAGGAACAGGGCAAACATAATTCGTTCCTGCTTGAGAGAGTCCACGTATGTCGCCACAAGCCTTCCGATCAGGCCGCTTGAGTCACTTTGACCGCCACCAAGCGCGGCGGTTGCAATTGGCTGAGTGATCTCATTAACATTGGACGACGAAAGCACCAAGACGGTCTCGTTGACAGTCGGAAGATCGATATTCAAGTTCTCGTTCAGGAACGTGAGTGCCTCTTCGAGTGCATCGACTTTCGAGCCGATAATGCACCGGACGAAGTCCTGCGCAGTGTTCTCCAAGATGGTCCCATTGAACACACTCGCGACGATATTCTGAACATCCGTGTAGAAGTCGTTCAGCGTCGTATTGAGTGTTGTTGTGGTGCCATTGACCCAGCCGAACAGACCGTCGTTGACAGAGGACTGAACAGTCTCAACACGTGCATTGATGCTACCAGCGTATGATGAGGACTGGTTATACATTGAACTGTTCACCTGCGCGAAGATCGTGCTGGAGAGATCCTGCACACTCGCAGCCGCTTGTGCAGTGTACTTTGCTTCCAAGGGACCGACAGCAAGAAGCTGTACCTGAACGGAAAGTAGACCGAAGAAACCGATCAAGAAGCAGGCAAGTGCAGGCGCATGGAAAATGTAGTGCAGAAACCATCGTAGGTGAGTGTGCTGTGAAGGGGACATACGCAGTTTAGCTGAGAGGGTGTTGGCTATGCGAGTAAGTAAGGGATGTTGCGCATCCGTCTGGAGCATGAGAAGATTGTGGTTGGTGAGTGTGACAGAAGGGGCACTAGCGGAGCTGGTGTACACCGTGGTGGGGTCAGAAACCCATGCCTCACGAGTGCGACGGAGGTGAGACTGCAAGCAGTACCACTTATACCACTCGAGGGCAAAGTGTCCTGCTAGCAGGGCGAAGAGAACAATGATCAATATAATGGTGCCAATCTTCGTAATCGTGAGGAGGTCATTTCCGAGATCGTCAATTGAGGAAGTGTCCAAATTGTTGCAAAAGGAAACCGTGTTCTGAGCAGGGACAGGAAGCGTCGATACATCGAAGACAAGGCCTTGGAATGTGCTGTTGATATCAGACTTCACGGCCTCAAAAGGTGTATCGACGCTAATGCGGGTTAGTAGACGTATATACTCATTTCGTTGTAAGACATACAGAGATTCAATAGAGTTCTTGATCGACGACACAGTTGGGAGTGAATTGTTAAGCTGAATCAACGCATTCTCAAAATCCGTTGGGATAGTGATACTGGACAGAGAGTCCAGGCTCGAGACGTTGAATTGTGGCGCGGTGATTTTACTGAAAGGATTGACCTTGTTGAGCTCGTTGACGACGCTTGTAATGGCAGAGTTGAGCGAAGTGGCATCATTCTGCAGACCTGACACAATGGTGGTTATGGTGCTTTGCAAGAAAGAAGTGATCTAAGCCAGTGTCAGCAAAAATTCATCGAAAGACAAACTTTTCATACCTCTTGAACAGCAGCAATGAGAAGTGCAAGCCCACCTCCAACAATCAGCTCGAGGAAACACAAAAACGTGGAGCGGTAAATGTCAATAAGGAAATTAATGATCGCTTCCATGACAGTCAATGATAGAATCAGAGCTGCGCGCGCGTCATTCATGGTGCCATTGATAGTATCTGCGATTAACTGATTTGAGGCAATTGCCATATACCGCGGAGCACTGGCCGCAGCTGTAGCAGCTTGTTCTGCTGCTTGACATGCGATCAAGAAGTCACCCTTTGCATTGGCTACCGCAGTTTGGGCAGATTGGGATGATAGCTGGAGCCTGAATATCACGAAAATGAGCGAAAGAATTGGATATGCTAGCCAGGCTAGGGAAAGGATGTGAGGGAGTTGAAGGTAAGGTTTGAGAGTCGTGCTCGAAGTCTGTATTGTAGAATGAACGTTATAACCTGGCGGAGGCGTTATTCCTCCTTGAGTGCGAAAAGAGAAGGACATCTGGGATGATGATGGTCGACCTGCGACGTCGAATAAAACTCTGATTGCCAACTGGTGGCGGTCGTCAGTAGTAAAGAGAGAAAGATAAAATAACTAGCAAGAAAGAGGGCCCTGGGAGAAGCGCTGGTGTAACCCATTCTTTTTCTTTTTAGAGCCAAATCATCATTGTCCCGGCACGGTGTGTCCTGAGTCCTCATTGTTCTTGAAAAGGACTGCGAAAGAGGACGAAGCACAATAAGAAGTTCACAATTAGGTAACCTTGTTGATGGTCGGAGTTCGGAGTGTTCTCGTCGGCGGCAAATCCGCAAGTGAATTATGCTGCCGTACAGCTGGCAACCACAGCTTGTCTTCTCCACGGATCATCATCAGTTGTCTCACCGAAGACCCATCGTCACAGGGCTGACCGCAGAGAATCCACTAGCGGCTACATAATACTTGAAGGCCTGAAGTCATCACTACCTTGAAGTTCGACGAAAAGTAGCTGAGTTCCTCAGCCTGCAACCTTACTAATAGTATTTGTATTCGACTTGAACCCATCAAGTCGACTCTGACTGTCAATAACAAGTGTACAAAGGGTTTTCCCCATCTTCGCGGGCATCACCTTTGTCCAGCTCCGTAACATGATACGTTGAAGCTTCACGCTTGCCATTCCGTGCACTCAAACGTATGAAATTTAGCTCCTTATTTGTCTTCCATGATGATTGCATTCAATGCTTAGTATCTTTCTTGTTCGGAAAGATTCCTGTCAGCTCTACTAATTCTCTTTCGGTTTGCTACACAAGTCTAAATATTCAATGGATCATCCACCCCTAAGGTCTGAGGCCTTGGGTGCGTCGCGCGTAATTTTTCTCTCCTGTTGGCATTCGCACTCTCCCCTCTCGATATTGTAACTCATCATTTCTCGCGCACGCACCTACTACCTTTTCCTCCCTACTAGACATCGGCAGATACGTATGCCACTCATAGTCAGGTACTCGATGTCATTCATACCACCCTCCCCGACGCTCGCGATGGGAACGTTGTTGCACCATTCCTTTCTCTTCGACTGTCCTCAGTACTGACCCAAATGTCACATTTTCGCCAACGTAGTTCGACCTGACAAAAGCCGGCCTGCACATCCTTTGATTCATAAATGGCACAAGCCCTCTGTTAGTAAGTCCCACGCTGCCATGCTTATACACAACAGACACTACTACCGTAAACCTGTGCAGATCTGCACATACCCGACTCACAACCGAAAGGAGAAACGCACTCTTGAGCGTCGTTGACGAACAGGCAGAAATATATCCCAGAGAGAAGATACACTTCAATAATAGCCACTGACAAGCGCAGAACACGCCAGCTAGATGACTGCCTACTCCACTGACCATCTTCCCCTTCGCGGCCTTGCTTTTGTACCTACTACTTCACGTGGCAGAGCAGAGACGAGTTCATTTTATCAATCAACTAATTATGACGAGATGATGTCCAACATATACAGTCTTCGTTCGCTTTCACACGAGTCAGGCTGCTTGATGCATAATATTTACCGGCTTGCATGAGTCATGATGCATGATTGATCGATCCTGAGCGCCCCGAGCGGGCTGCGCAGCTGACTTTTCGTTTTGGAACAAAATTCAACAACCTAGTTACGAAGACAAATCAACAAATTACAGCCCAATCGTTGTTTTCACAACGCCATGAACGAGAGCCTTGTCTCAAAGTACAAAGACATCGTCACCTCCAGAGGATTGACTTATCACTATCTATCCTTGCCAGCTGTAGATGACAAACCCACTCTACTCTTTGTCCATGGATTTCCCTCAATCTCATACGATTGGTATCATCAGATCAACTACTTCTCCGAGAGGGGATTCGGAGTAGTAGCACCTGACATGCTCGGGTACGGCGGCACGTCCAAACCCACTGATATGTCCTTCTTTCTGCACACCGCAATCGCACAAGACTTGCTCGACATTCTTGATGCCGAGAAAGTCCAAAAAGCCATAGCCGTTGGACATGACTGGTAAGACATAACTAAACGCGCACCAGCCAAATTCAGAACTGTCATCAGGGGCGCTTGCATAATCTCCGTCTTGTCAATGAAACACTCTGACCGGTTTTTGGGTTTCGCGTGGGTTGCGGTCACACACCAAATATACGCCCCCTTCCCTCCCATTGATGTTATTTTGGAGATGAATATTAAGACATTTGGCCGGCCACTTCTGGGGTATTGGAAGTTTTTCGAACAAGAAAGTGCTCCTCAAATCATCGAGAAGAACGTGAGTGTTTGACCAATGTTCTGATCTTTGGTTATTAATAAGACTCAAAGCTGGAATCTTTGATTTCCGTGTTTTATCCGGATGACCCAGATAATTGGCTGACTCTGATGAATCAACCCGGGGAGATACAAGCTTTCATCGAAAATGGAAAGACGACAAAGAGAGCCAGTTATCTCACAGACGAGGTGTTTCTCATTACTCTGTCAGGCTTGTTAGAATTGACTGTCTGTAAAATATAGCACCACTCACGCTTGTTGGAGTCACTAAGGGGAGGTGGGTTAACGAGTGCCCTGAACTGGTACCAATCCACGCTCGGTGGTGTTAATTCCCGCATCATGGAAGGTGAGACACGATGTCCAACTCATCACTCGATATTGCATCATCTAATCTCGGCTTGCTGCGGTAACAGAAATACCAGAAGAAAATCAGTTTATCAAGAAACCCGCGTTCTTCGCGGTCGCAAGGAAAGACCACGTATGCGTGTATGATTACGCCGTGCCACAAATGAAGAAATACGCGACGGGAGGTCTCAATATGGTAGAGTTTCAAGGCGGACACTGGGTTCAATTGGAGGAACCGGAAACTTTCAACAGAGAGCTGGAGGGTTGGATTCGCGATACGTTACAACAAAATTGTTGAGCGTAGGCGGGTTGGTCACGAATACTCACGAACATCAGTTGTACATCACCAACTCACAATCTACCCGAGCCCAATTTCCTCTCAAAACGTTGTGAATTACTAGTGTGATTTTTAGTTCGTGCATGAGCGCAGCTGGGACGAAGACAACGTCGCCAGAATTGAACTGGCCACACGTTCGAATTCATCCAGATGCGCACGTTTGTCGAGGAACGAATCGATACTTATTGACGCTATCGCGGAATTTGCAAAATCAAGGCAGCTGATTGTTTTGGCGACCGGCGTAGCTTGCACATGGTCAACTGATAAGTGAGATGGTGTAATCTAATGAGACAACAAACAACAGTAAGTTTGATGTAGATGTGTAACACAAGAACTGAGATGGGCTGCAAGGCCGATGTATCCGAGCTAATACCTGTTGGTGTCCAATCCAGATGTCGGGTTGCAGGTAAATGTCGGTATATGGGGGACGTATATGATAACGCGATGAAGCGTGGAAAGCCATTGTCGATGAATCAAGACCTATCATCAGTCAGCGTACGGTCATTATCACCATCAATCGGACTGGAGGAGAAAAGGGATGCGGCAAGAATACAAAATCACGCACATTTTGTAATCGACTATTGTCTCCTCCTCCTCGTCCCCGACTGCATACGTAATGGAAATGTCAAGATCGCGGTTATTCCGAGCGTTCGGCGCGCAAGCGAGACTGCCAGTAATTTCCTGCCCTCTTTTGATAGTGATTGTCTCGGGGGTATAGAACACTGTTTGCCTGTTTTCAAGAGATGAACACCTGAAGAACAGAGAGTTGGATTGCAAACGTACTTCCAGTGCGTGTATTGCGCATGAGGACCAGTTGAAAACTTGACTTTCTTATGTGTGCAATCGAAGACGATGTCGAACCAAGCAAGGAATGCATGGATATCTAAAGTAGCGCGTATAAATAGTGCAATTATACCTAACACGATCACACTCACAGTCATCACGTGTAGCAACAAGGTTAAAGGGTGCTGTGAAAGTCAGGTCCTCTTTTGTTGCTGTCAAGAGGTTGATTTCCTGAATGGAGTCAGACAAGTATCATCAATAAATTGATGGCAACAAACTTTGATGACATAGGGATCGGTTACGACCGCTTTCAGTTCAACGGTATCCACCAAAGGTTCGCGGAGCGCGATGTCTTTGATACACGAGTAGTCGAAGCCATACACATTATCCCAAACTACAAATGATGTTCTCAGCCAGGCGCGCGAATACCACAAACATACGCACAGTTGATCTTCTCCTCTTTGTAGTCCTGATCTTCAATGGCAGCAAAAAGTAATTTTGCGGTGTCCGGGAATATCAGTCCTTCCGGCTTGAGGTATTTGTCTCTTGCAAGCAAGACCGTGTCCAACATAGATTCGTAGAGAAGGAAATAACCCATCCACTCTGAAATGATGATATCGAACTTATCGATAGGAAGCTCGGCTTCCTCGAGTTTTCCCTTGACGAGGGTAATTGCTAGTGTATTATTACTAAAGATGGTATCAGCAGCATGCAGTCAGACGTACTGTCTTTAAAGCCGTTGGCTTCTATGATCTTTTGAGCTTGATCGATGATATTCGACATGTCGATCTTTAAAGGGCATGCAGGAAGTGATACGAGCGAGCGGGCATGTGGTACTTACACCAACTACATGTGAAGCACCCGCTTTTGCAGCGAACATACTCAAGATACCAGTTCCGCAACCAACATCTAGGACTGTTTTACCCTTGAAAAGGTGACCGTTGTTCATGATCGCAGAACGATATGATCCTGTCCGGACAGTGTCCTTGAGCATTTCCTCGTGAATACCTGTCAGAATATGTCAAACTAACAATAACTCGACCAGACGGATCAACAAACCAAAATGCGCGTATGAATCCGCATAACTGGAAAAAGGGAAGCAAAAATTAGGTATTAGAATTTCCTTGAGAAGATATGCGCAAATGTGCGAACTAGTCTCTGGAGGTCATCGAGTCCGATGTAACATCGGGGGCGATATGGTGGGTCGATGTAACATCGGAGGCGATATGGTGGGTCGATGGTCCTGCACTTTCCATCTTCAATTGAAACAGTTGGGTGAAGCTGTGAAGCACAAAGGAATACAGGTAGCAGATAAAAATTTGCCGGTTCCCACGGTAGCAAGAATCCCAGATTCTGAACGTTGACCCGTGAGAACAAATTCTCATAAAACTATACAGTTTGAGATACTTACAACAACCAAAGCCCGGATTCATGAGTCATGACCCAAAGATAAAGGTCACTTGCTTTTCAAAGAACTTTTAACATGTTTCTCGATGCAGCCTCCTTCCCTCTGGACATACTACGTTGCCGAGTCTCGACTAATTCGAAATTTTAAAACGGACACCGCTTTCTAATAATGGATGCGACAAATAACGAAAAACAAATTCTATGTAGGCTGACGTGAGTCACGTGATCCGTCGCAGTGCCCCCTGCTTATGCGCCGCAGTGCGCAGCTTTCGAACTCGTACAAAAGCCACGTAGCGGACCTTATCGATGATAATCGATCCTCAGTCAAAAATGGTGAGTCTCTCTCGAACATATGTAAATTCGTTGTCTCTGGTGTTAACGAACCCTCAGGTAATCAAGCATAGTGCAGAATCTGCAGATAGCCCACCTTCCTACGACTATGTCGCAGCTCAGGCTACTTCAAGTCTGTCATCACATTTGTTTTATCCTAGATTATCAATTGTTTACTATGATTTCAGATGTTGGAGAGCAACAGCCACCTTTGATGAATGACAAGAATGCGAACCAACAAGTGCAACTGCCTTCAATACCTCCTAACACTGTGATGGCTGTTCACTCTCGTCCTGCGCCTCTGGTGCAGCAACCCATAGTCTACCATTATCAGAATCCCTTGACTGGCGAGCGCATCGCCTCGCTACTGCCCCCAGACCACCCAGAAATGATATGTCTGCAACAAGGAGCACATGTTAATGAAACCAAGTTTGGCATCCTAGGTAGGGAATATCACATGCTCACAGGCAAGCAGTTAACTCATGCCTTTCTTTAGGAATTTTGGCTGCAATAGTTTGGTTCCCGTTGGGCATTGGCCTTTGCCTTCTTGACCGGAGGGTCAAGTGCAAGCGCTGCGGGGCGGTCATAGACAACGGTATCTGTGGTTAATCGGTATTGCATTCCCCCAGTCTTCTTTCTTCGTTTTCTTTGGACGCCTTCAACGCACAGTCATGTTCTCCTTGTTATTCGACGTTTTCATCTCTATATCCCGATTTCCACAGTGTTCCTAACTTAATGTATAGCTGTAGTATCTAAATTACTATTTGACGGACAGATATGCATTAGATACCAAATCCAACTTTTCTAAACAAGTAGATGATATCGATGGGAGCCTATCGTTGGTGCTACAATTCTTCTTTTTCGTACTGACGGCAGGGCCTAAAAGTCTCGAAGGTCATTGTCACAGTATCAAGTTTGACTAGCTTCTAGACATAATATTGATCACGATGTTCACCTTCCTAGCTACATCCTTTAAAGCATGTAACCACGCTAGCCTGTATAGTGCTTCCGTCTTCGAGACCTTGAAATTTAAACCACAATATCCCCACACGCTTGAAAAATATTCCAAAGTCCCTCGCAATATAACCGAAAAAGGAAGGGCCTTGCTGGGAATCGAACCCAGGCCACTTGCAATTGTGAAACGCCCAAAGCAAGTATCGTACCTCTAGACTACAAGGCCTTGAGATACGTGCGCGTTTGCATACCCTTCACGAGGCCGATCACTCTTTGCCATGTGGTCACATGTCCATGCGGTGTCACGGTGCGCAGTTTGACACCAACGTCGACATGCCGCGCACCAACCGCGCACGATCCACGCGACGAACCTCACATCCGAATTCGAATCATCAGTCCTTCCTGGCTTGTCAGACTTGTCACTGACTCACTAGGGTGCTCTACTTCCTCTCCAATACGGAGACTCGTTGGACGCTTGCAAGCGTTGATCTTCTCGATAGTTCAGGCTTATATATCATCCAAACCCCGGGCCGTCGGGGCACAAATGCTGCCTCCCGACATTTCAATCGAGGAAGAATGTAACTTTAATCCTGTGAAACTGGGAAGATGTGATTCGCGAAACCTAACAGAGCGAAGGTATGGTGGAAATTCAAGCAGTGAGGCTTGCCAAGGAAGTTTGTCGGTATGTGCCACTCGTCCTCAAGCTACGGGCTTTCAAATATATTGTTCCCAGATGACTTTGATAATCTACACGCTATGCGACGCTGAAGATCTGCACCGATAAACATGTCGCATGATACCGCGTCTGCTTCATATCAGTTACAGATGTCAACCCCATCGCAAAAGTGATTTCATCACATGATCTAGGCTGTATTTGCGCGAACCGTTGTCGATTAGTTCGAGTCTTAATGACCCATACGGAAACTCATCTACGAACCCATGCGGGAACCCATCTAGTTGCTTGAAATTCGACGTCATTTGATTAAGCTAAACGATATCTGTCCGATTTTCTCAGATGGACGCTCATGTATTGTTGAGCGTCACGTCGTCTACACCGGCGAGTCTGATGACACAACATTGATTGTTAGTATCCCTTATTCAACTTGAAGATATCACACGCAACGATATATTGGTTGGGCTCGAGGGTCTGTCTGTGCTTCATCGCTGACATCCATATCGGACGGTCGACAACGATGAACCAAGATAACCTTCGATCCAGAGGGTTCTCGTCGACCGTACCATGTGTCTTTCCAGAGATGATTTTGAACCCTTGAAAACAAGCCTGGAAAACCAGCGTTTACAGATTTCAGACACTGCGATTTTCAGGGATGCTTCATACCCTCTTGGACAACACCTATTATAGCTCGACGGGCACTGTGCCCCAGAAGTTGCACTTGGCACGCCTTGGACATACAACGCGGATATCTGGAATTTGGGTTTGATGTTGAGGTTGGAAATCAGCGGTATGGAACTGACGTCGCTGGGTCGCAGACACGGAACCTAATCAAAGATAAAGACCATGCGATGGAATCGATCCTGGAGGGGTTGCGCATCTTGTTCAGCTCATTGGATTCGTCGACTATCCACCCAAGGTGTTACTTGTAGCTTTTTTTTGAATCTGATGGCAAGTTGTAATGAAAAACATTGCCATATCTGCTAACGGTGTGCCTAAACCTCATCATACAAGATGTCACGTTGGCAGATTTTATAGAGAGACTGGAAGGTGAAGGCAAGAAGCTGTTACTTGAGCTAAAATGTTGCAGTAGATCCCAGGGAAAGGACTACAGCAAAGGAGTTGCTCAAAGACCATTAGTCTGGAGTCCCGGTCCGTTTAATTGCTACGTACTAGGTTGGAACTTGGCAGGTGCTGTCGTGCTCAGTGGTAGTTTAATCCTTTCCATATTTGTGTCTATTCAGTTCAGAGGTCAAAAGAAGTATGCACGATGTGGCCTTAATTTTCTCACCGCTCATCGCCTGACCATTGTGCAGCAGTGTGCTGTGGTTATCGTTTGATTGCACTCAACGTCGACATTCGAGAACAATTTCAGAACCGCCTCCGAGTTGTGAAGCTTACTAAGCTACTGCAACACTTCATTGTGAACACTTCTACAAGCAGTACTTGTTGAATCCTGTCCACCACCAGCCATGGTTCGAATTATCATCAAAGGAGGCAAGTGAATTTATCCAGGCTTTTTGACGCGTGTTAATGGTAAATGAATCAGGTGTTTGGAAGGTATATTGCAACTTCGGTCTGAGTATCACCGGAATCCGAATCTGACACACTCATCCAGAACACGGAGGACGAAGTTCTCAAGGCTGCGATAGCGAAGTATGGGAAGAATCAATGGTGAGTTGTCCATTCATAATTAGCTGCCCTGCTCTAGTACTGAGCATCACTAGGGCGCGTATATCGTCGTTGCTGGTCCGCAAGACCCCCAAACAATGTAAAGCGCGGTGGTATGAGTGGCTAGATCCGTCTATCAAGAAGACAGAATGGTCAAAGGTGTGTGTTGCGCACTCTTGTTTTGGTACTGAAACCTGCAATGTACTACTTAGACCGAGGATGAAAAGTTGATGCACCTCGCAAAAATTATGCCCACGCAATGGCGGACAATAGCCCCCGCAGTGGGTCGTACTGCTACACAATGTCTTGAACGATATCAGAAGTTGTTGGATGAGGCTGAGGCGAAGGAAAACGAGGAGCTAGGGCTGGCGGGACCAGGGGGAGAGTCAGCACCGAGTGCAGACGACATCAGGCGCCTGCGACCAGGAGAGATTGACCCCGACCCTGAAACCAAGCCTGCACGTCCTGATCCTATTGACATGGATGAAGATGGCAGGTTTTCTTCTTTCCAGGAGGCGGGTTTTTACTGACTCTGCATACAGAGAAGGAAATGTTATCCGAAGCCCGTGCTCGTCTCGCAAATACACAGGGCAAGAAAGCTAAGCGGAAGGCTCGTGAACGCCAGCTCGAAGAAGCAAGACGACTTGCAGTCTTACAGAAAAAGCGTGAGCTGAAGGCTGCTGGAATCATGTGCGTCAATCTATTTACTTTGCGGTATGACCCTCCTCATGTGATATGCTTTAGTATGCGACATAAAACGAAAAATAAGGGTATGGACTACAACGCTGACATTCCCTTTGAAAAGAAGCCGGCGGCGGGCTTCTACGACACGTCGGAAGAACAGGCACGCATAACCTCTGCGCCAGTCGGCCAATCACTCCGCCGTCTAGAAAACAAACGCAAACCTGACGAAGAAGAGGCTGAACGAAGGAAGCGACAACGTCGGGCAGCAGAGGCTAAGGGCGACAACGATGGCCACCAAACAAAATTCATTGCCGCTCGTGATGCACAGATACAGAAGTTGAAAGAGGCGGAGAGCATTGGCCGGCGACGGAAGCTTGTGTTGCCGAACGCGCAGGTTGGTGAGGCGGAGCTAGAAGACATTGTCAAGATCGGGCAGACAGGGGAGAATGCCAAGGCATTGGTCGGTGGCGGAAGCGAGGCAACTGCGAAGCTCTTGAGTGATTATGAGGGCCTGGAGGGCGCAAGGATGGCACGAACGCCTCGTACTGCACCCCAACGTGAGTTTTTTTTGGTACTCACTTCCATCGCAGCGACTGAGCTATATCATAGAGGACAATGTCATGTTGGAAGCACGCAATTTACGGAACATGACCATGGCCCAAACACCTTTGTTGGGAGATGAGAACACCCCCCTTCATGTTGGGCCGGGGGGAGGAACTGGTTTCGAGAGCGCAACTCCTCGGCATCAAGTTGCTTTTACCCCAAATCCTCTCGCAACCCCTATGCATGGCGGCCCAGGTGACGTTTCTGCAACGCCGCGAGATGGTGCATCGTGGGGCGCAACCCCACTGCGGACGCCTATGCGTGATACCCTCAGCATCAATCCCGCTACGGGTATGCCAGTTGGCGAGACACCACGCGACCTGCGGTTACGTACCGACTCCGCCAAGCGTGCTTTAAAGGCCGGATTCATGAGTCTTCCAAAGCCCGAGAACAACTTCGAGCTTTTGGTTCCGGAAGACGAAGAGGAAGAGGATGGTACCGCTGGTCCGCTGTCAGAGGAAGATGCTGCCGAAAGGGATGCACGCTTAGAGCGGATACGTGAAGAGGAGGAGAGAAAAGCCTTAGCAAGACGAACACAGGTTGTTGCCCGTGGTCTGCCTCGTCCTGCACGGGTCGACGTGGAGCAGCTGATGAGAGACTTGAACATTGGTGAAGAAGATGACGACATGGCGGAGGTCAGAAAACTCCTAAATTCAGAGATTGCGGATCTCCTACTGCACGACTCGATAGTGCATCCTCTCCCTGGCACGAATATTCCTGGTGGCACGCCATCAACTTATCAGATACCGCCAGATGATGACCTCGCTGCTGCTAAGGCTCAGATTCATCTTGAACTTGCCTCCTCAATTGGCTTCCCTGATGCCAACGAAGCCCAAGTGAAGGATGGACTGGCAACGCTATCAAGCAGCGAAGAGATTGATGAGAGTGCGTGTTGGGCAAGTATCCGTCAGCAGCTTGCTTTCGATGCCGCCTCGAGAACATGGGTAGAACCCAGTAGCCTATCCGCGGAAGCTAGAATAGCCGGTTATACCGCACTGCTCGAGGAGAATCGTGGAGAGATGTCAAAAGAGGCCAGCAAAGCTGCTAAGGCCGAGAAGAAGCTTGACATCACCCTTGGTGGATATCAAGCACGTTCAAAAGCTCTTTCCAAACGTGTTACTGAAGCTTTCAATGAGCTCGTGCGAACAAAAGTGGACTATGAGAGCTTCGCTCGACTCAGCATCAACGAGGCTGCAGCTGGACCACGGAGATTAGAGTCGCTGAAAGAGGAGGTGGATACTCTATCACGAAGAGAGCGCCTGCTGCAGGAGCGGTACGCAGAGCTTGACCGCGAGCGTCGGGATGCAGAATCCAGGGTTGCTGTACTGGAGGAGAAAATCATGGCGGAGGCAGAGGCACTCAATGAAGTAGCTCTCGCTGAGATGGAAACAAGCGGATGATTCATTCTCAAGTGTTTTTATGCAACTATGTATCATTCTGCTTTTACACTATAGTACTCGCTTATTCCTGGCACGTCCTGAGTCCATCGAATTAAACGCAAACTAGTTTTTTGTACACGCCCCCTCGTGCTGTGCTGTGCTCCGCGTCATTGCGTCAATGCACATGATACACAAAGGTTGTTAGATATCGTCACACATTAAGTTGTTTCTACATATTTAAATCCAAAGACAGTCATTTACCGTCATCTAGGATTGGTCCAAAGCTAACTTGAGGGTCACGATGGTGATTGCATGGGGCTGCCCACTGTACCCGAGCATCCTGCACATCTCACTTAATCAGCTCTGCAAAATGCCGGGCAAACACAAGAGTGTCCTTCAGGATCTTTCAGAGCCATGCCCGCATACTATCATGAACCACTGCAGGCTCAGAAACTTGCTATGGGTCCAACCCTTGAAGTTTTCCAACGACTCTGCTTGGGATTGCGTAGCAAGCTCACAGGACGCCTGGTACATTGTCATCCTGAATTTGATATCGTCACTGACGATACATACATACAAGTCTAATAACAACCTACAAAAGGTCAAGGACAAATCATCTCGTCTGCAATTTACCCCAAAGTCAGCACGTAGAAATAGTTCCGTTTGTCTGTTAAACACATGCTCGTTAATAAACTTGCATTTGTTCCTGACTGGTTGAGTGCTCACACTTGTAAATATCAGTCCTTGAAATTGCTTTTCTGGTGGGTCAGCTTGTGATTGCGTAGTCCCGATGTTGAACATAATCGTGCTCTGACACGGAATTTTAATTTACGCAACTATTTAAATGCATGATGCTCACCAGAGTACGTGAACAGCTCTGAGTATCACTTGTTGAGGCCCTGTCCCGAAGGAGCGACCGACGATTCAACCTGTATGACATTGGTAAGTTTTGTGGTCGGTTTATCATCTGTCCGTTTGGCAACTAACGAGGCTAACAAGGTGCTCCCTACGACTGCACAATATGTGAGTTAATATATTCAATGTGAATTATTTCGTATCATTACCATTAGGAAACAGCAACCATAACCCGACCCCCGAATCTGCATCGTTTCAGCTGTGGTGAATGTGGGGTATCAGCCCACTCACAGTTCGGCTGCTTCAGGGTTGGAAGCTTGGGAGACTGGTTAGAGAATGTTCTATTGAGAGGAGATATCGACGACGAAGCGCTCACCAATGTTGCCAATGTAAGGGCCATCAAACTAATCATCGATCAAAAAAATTGTAAGCCATAATAAAAGTCAAATACCTAGTGACTAAACCAGTTTCTGTGAAGAGGTGATGGGTGATGTTAGGTGGGGAAATCATCCGATGGAGGCCTTTCCTAATGTCTCACCGATTGTCCATTTAATCAACCGGTTGATAATCGTAACCGTGCTATGGTCGACGTAAGAAACAGCAACTTCGGGCAAAATGATAGATAGCCATACTCTTCATTCTCAGGGTCTCGTCGCTTCTTCAAACCCCAGGCGATTCCAGCAGTGGTGATCAAGTCACAGGCTGCACGTGCAGTGAAAGTGAGCCCAATCAGCAGCAATTGAAAATCCGCGATGTTCGTCGCGGAAATTGCCTTTGCTGCGAGAACGCACGTGGAAGTTTGTGCAATCACGGAGAGCATTTGACAAAAAATGGGCAAGAAGACATTTCTAGTCAACTTCCAAAGTCGAAAAGCGTAGAATGACTAATATGAATCGTAAACACTGAATAATGGATATATACATCTAGAAATTACTTACCTGCACAATGACAATTGTTAAACCGCCCAACGGAACGGCGACGTTTATCGCTATAGGAAGCACCGCAAGTTGAGATGGGTCACCATAGGTGCTGACAGTCATTGTCCACAACATCGATATTACACAAACAAAGTGGCCCAGCTGAATTAGGCTGCAAAATCTGTGTTGGTATCTGGAGGAATTAAGTCAAACATTGGGCGCACATGACTGCAGATACCTAATCGTATGGAGCGATCAATCAAATCAACGATGAGTTTGATAGTTGATGGACTTACAGTTGCTTTCAGGGCGAGATGATCGTCGCTGAATCTTACAAAATACAAGTAGGACTGGCAGCCAAGGCAGCCAAATAACGCCGCGCTCAACATTCCACAGACTTGGATCGGTCCGATGACCAGCTCCGCATTGAAATCGCTTGCTCGTTTGAAGCTATTCATTGTGCCTATCCTAAGTTTTGCAAGGTTATAAGAATAGTGTGATCATTTAGATTCGTCTGGCTTACGAACTTAGCGTTAATTAGTTTCGGACACGAGGGACGGCCGAAAGTTGCCTCCACCAGGGCTGAAGAAAATGGAGAAATGTAGCTCCTCCATGGGAGATCAGTACGGATTGATATAGCACCAGTAAAACACTGGCACTGATTAATGTAAACATCACACAGCCTTCGCTGCGTAGTTGAATGAATCTGATGGACTTGACTTGGTTGCGTGATATGAGGTGAATTTACGGGTATTGGGTGTACACTGCAGATAAACTTAGCCGCATCATGAATCTGACAACAATCCGACTGCGGAAACTAGTCAGACCAGATTAAGTGTGTAGGGACAGACCACATACTTACACGGAATATTTGCCATCTTGCAATTGATCAACTCGGACTCACGCTTTAGAGGTGAAATCATATCCCATGGGCGGAGGTAAATAATTATAAACAAAGTTCACTGGTACTTACAAGTACCAATTATGAGGAGGTTCAAAGTACACCAACTTGAATAATTGTCAAGCAGCTACAATGGGATTCCGATTTGAAGAGAGGAATACAGATGCCAAATCTCCGAAGGGAGATTAAAGCGCAATATCGACAATCTCGGGGGAGGGCCGAGGACATACAGAGAACTCAAATAAATGGCATGGCGGCGAGGTGTGCATCTCTCTGCTGGAATTAAAGAGGTGCGTTACTTCTGAACATTGGGACGAGTTCTCGTTTACCTCTCCCTCAAATTCCAGACCATCCAAGTCCTTTGGTATGTTCAAGTTCCATACCTCCACTTTTTCCAGCCCTGCGCTCTGAGCTGCTTTTTTCATCTTTTCAAGCAGCCCCTCCCTCGTTGCAGCCAGCCGTGTCACGCTTGGCGTCGGTGTAAACCACATGTCCGCAGCCCACGTCGCATATGTCGCTTGCCTCTCATCATCGATGTTTTCCTTTCTTATTCCTCACACTTTCAACGGGACCTTGTAACAGCGAGCCCACCTGGAACGAACCAATCACACTGTCTAATATATCGAAAACGCAGCTCCACCCGCATCACGCACTTTAGGTAGTGACGCACCCCACTTCCTTAAAAACTATCACAGGACGAGGTCACCCAGTACAACAGGTGCATCATATGCTGCCCACACCCAAATTTCCTTCGCTTCGTCTCCGGTGTGTGCACGTTAGCGATCCCATAGCACGGTGCTCTATTTACTTTGTTGGGGCCATTTGGGGAAAGATATGCAACGAACCCTGTGCGTTTGTACCCGGGTCACAGTAAGCTCGTCTGTGCGGATGTTGCTGGGTATAGCAAGAGTCCAAACTCAATGGAGGGGGTTCCTTGATCAAATGTACTGGATTCATCGGTGCCTGGCGCTGATCTGGTTATTACTTCCACTGCATTTCCATCACGACCTGAGCTGCCAGCAAGATGCGTTCTTACCTGTATCGAGGCGAGTACTGTTGCACGAAATCAAGTAGACAGGGAAATCAATCCGGGAACCTTTGAATGAATTCAACTTTAAGGGGTGGTCATGAATCTGCAAAGCAGTTTGGCGTGGGATGACGGAGAAAATCAATGTCTGCTTTGAGTGAGGCTATAGGGTATCTGCATCTACTAACATGGCAACAATATTCAAATATGCACCATCAAAACACAAGCGACTACCTGTCAGAGCTGTTTTTTTACATGAATATCTATAGCTAGAGTATTTCTACAGTACCAACGTGCATGCTATCAACCGAAGCAATGTCTTTGACTCGTGCGATGATGTTATGACCTGACGCGATCCCGGGCCTCTTATATTCTCCAACATGTCGTATATCAAACCTTCGTCATGGACACTCGGCACCGTTCATTTCGTTCGTACCTATATATTCTCGTTTATTCCCGCGCCTCGTAGCTACCTCAGTTGACTTCGTACGTCGCTGAGGTCAGTATTATATTCATACTTAGTACCTATGTAACTAACACCAGCTGTAGCTATCTGCTACAGGTATACCAATATGACAAGTTGACTTCGTACGTCGCTGAGCTATCTGCTACAGGTTATGAGCCCTGTGATAGGCACTCGTGCGAAGAGTTTAGGGCAAGCGGGGCCCTCCAGCTCAATGCTCGGAGGACCCGCAATCAATTTTAATACTGGGAAGTGACAGCTCGTTTGAAAACAGAGAAGTACGTATAGTAAATAGAAAGAATCAGTAATGTACAAGTCACCAAATGACTGGTGACTGAGCCCCCTCCAAACGACTGGTGACTGAAAAGTCGAGAAAGTCAAGTTTGACTCTCGACCAAGCGCTAGAGGGCTATTTTTCTTTCTTTTTTTATTATTATTATTATAAATAATGCTGATGACGTACTTAGAATCCCCAGACTGTTACAAGAAGTTGATGCAAACGAGAATTCAACCAAGCAATTCGAGCGTTAAGCTGTCAAATCCAGTGAGTTACGGATTTTGAGAACCGTGTATAAGCAAGTGAAGCAGATAAGGGTGCTTTCGAATGTATTTCTGAAACTCATCCGAAGACCAGCGTCCCGCTGCCTGAATCAGCGCAGGCGCGACACCAGTCGCAGCTAGGGCAGTGGCACCCCCGGCTCGCATCGAATGTCCAGAAATAGTTGGGGGAAAGAAACACCGAAGGTAACGCATGAACCATGCGCGCGTCGGGATAGTGCCACTCGTAGTCAGCCAGAGGTGTGGATGGTGTGGAAAGCGACTGTCGCGAGCACGTACATACCGTTGTAGGAGAGCTAGAGGATTCACTCTAGATTCAGGCTCTGCCATCACCAAGATCTCACATCCTACTCCCAAAGTGCTCGTCTTATGGTGAGGTAATGTGTAGCTTGCCGATGTTGCAGACAGCATGAGAGAGTGGCGTAGCGCCACTTTACGATAGGATTGGTGTCGTTTTGCATTAGGCCAGCAGAGCTCTGCGAGACGTTGCAAACTCTTGAAACCTGTAACCAGCATTGCCACGAATAGCGTATCGTCGTACTCTGTAGATGATGCGAATGTGTTGACCACAAGAGTGAGATCATCCAAAGTGAGTGGTTGTTTGCGTTGAACAGGCTTAGATAAGCGACGTTTGCAACCCTTCAGAGTTCGCGTGACGAGCAAAGATGTCTGTATTTCACGAACGTGCGGGAAGTGTGTCTCCAGACGATTGACAATTCCCGAAAGATATGAGTCCACGGATCGTGGCTCGATATGATGTGATAGCCACACCACGAAGAAGGACAGCGTGTCCGCAGTTGGCTCTACCTCCCGGTGATGAAGTCGACAAAAGTTGAGATAGGAATTTAGATGCGAGTCGTAAGCTGAAGCTGTGGTGGATTCAATAGCGCAGCCAAGGGCAAGTGAACGCTCTAGCTGTAAGCGTTCGAGAGTCCAAGCTTCCCGCACGGGTTGCTTGGACTGTGTGGTACCTCGGATCATTTTTCTGCCACCCCCAGCGCATCCCGAGGGGGTTCAAAGTCAAAAATCTGCGCCGAAGGCACGAGATCTTTCACGAGCTCATTGTGAAACCGTGAGAGTGCGTCAGCGATGACGTTCTGCTGACCTGGAATATGCTCAACCCGCAGGTCAACGCTATAGCTGATTAAGATATCCACGGCCGAAAGTAACAGTGAATTATAGACGGGTCTTGCTCGAAGTGAGTCGAACATTGCCACAGTATTCGAATTGTCTGTGTAGATGAGTAACTTTGCCGGGGTCTCGTCCATGTTTGTGACAGCGTGAATAGCAGAACATACAGCCAACGCTTCGAAGAAGAAGATAGAGTCGTGGGGAGCATCTCCAGGTGATGGTGACTGGCACGCGAAGTTATCGTCCGGGAACCAGAGACCCATTCCTGCTGCTGACGCGTCAGTGTAGATAACCACAACATCATCTCTTGATGGCTCAAAGTCTAGACACCGGAATAGGTGTAAGCCATCCAAACGTTCGACGTGGTCTGCAAGCCAACGTAACTCGCGCAGTAGCGCGTTATTGACGTGAATTTGAGCGAATGCATTCTTCTTTCCTCGGATTTTGTCGTAAAGCACCGACAAACCCGGCTTCAACAGAGGAAACACGTTAAAGCTCCATTCGCACCAACCAGCCAGACGCTGGAATTCGCGCAGGGACCAACGGTGATTTTTCTGCGCGAAACGACGTAACTCTATAACCAGCTCAGCCTTTTTATGATGGGGTAACGTGACCTGCATAGCATTCGGGTCGACTTCAAATCCAATGATAGTCAATGGCGCGCCAAATACTTGCTTTGGTCGTTCATGCGGCAGGTGAAGGTCATCCCAAAGTTGTAAGAGTCGAGTCTGTTTTGCGGGAAAGTAGCAATCATAAGGAGGATAATAGAGAACACGTCCGGCCACTTCGAAAGAGAAAGAGTCGTCCATGTAGGTTTTAAGCGCATCAATTAAGATTTTGTGAATGGCGATCCACGCGACAAGTGACATAAAGGATATCCAAATCTTCGGAGATCCTCGACCACCGAAGTTGTTGTTACGATCTACGTGTCGTTGACCATGCACAGTCAAGATCTGTTTGACCTGCCATAGAGGGTGCATCGGTAACCGACGGAAAGCTTGTGAAACGTCAGATTTGAACATAATTAGCTCAACGTTCGGATGCTGCTCTCGAAATTTGAGCAGCGAGGCACCTAGTGAGTGTAGACCATCAAGCTTGGTACCCTTGATCGCATCCCAATCAATCATAGAGTTCAATGAGTACTCGCCCGCAGTGTGGTCCACAACCAAGCGAAGTTTGTCCGAATTGGGTTTAGGAACGGTGTGCATTGGCACACTATACATTCCTGGATAAAGCTCTGTTCCAAAACTTTCGGACACTCGACCCAAACGAATTTCTTCCTGCATCTGATTTTCAATGAATTGGAGTTGTACGTCAGTCTTGGAACACGTATGCGAGGAGTTGTCATTGATAGACGGGTACGTGTCATCAGAGGTGT